GAAGAAGGTAAAGAACAAAGCCACCTATCAATGACACAGGTGGGAAAAAACTCTCTTTACACTCAGCACTGCTGAGAGCTACACTGGTGCCCAATATCAGGTGGAAATCAAAGCTGCAACACCCTTCCTCACCTGGGAGCAGATAATAGCTGGGGGGGAGGGGGTTGGTGACACCTGAGCAGGAGGGGCAATAAGCATATAGGGAGGTGCTGAGGGGGTAGGCAGCTCCTAACCACAGGGACCTTCTGGAAAGGAGCAGGTGTGGCTGACTTCAGGGAGGGAGTGGATGTGGGAGCTCTTCAGTGGGGGCTGCCTCCCAGCATTGTTTTTCCTTTCATGGCAGGTTTCTGGAGGGCTCAAGCATGAGCAGCCATTGGGTTCTATTAGCCTTTTTCTGCTTGGGACAGCTGTGTGCAGGTAAAAGGCATCTATCTGCAGTCTCTTCTTTTTTGTTGCTCCTCTCTTTGTGTCTCTTCCCTTTCTGTTTCTCTTACGTTTTCTTGTTTTGTCCTGGGTGTTGACTTTCTGATCCAGGATCTGTGTTGGGAGGGGGTTTAGGGCTTCAAACATACGTTCTGCCGGAAGATTGTTAAAGTATCTCTACTGTAGCTAGGCTGGGAAGGAGGAGGAGCTGCTGAATCTCTCTCTTTGTTCGTAGTTAATCTTCCCCAGGAGACTGGAGATGGGATGAGCTTGTGCGGGGAGGAGGGAAGTGTCTGATATAAACTTTATTCTAATACCACTTGCCCTCTCCAGGGCCTCTCCCAGACAGCTTTCCTCTCTGCTAAATCTCTCACTCTGTGTGTTAACAAGCCTGATCTTAAAAACCTTATTAAGACTCCTTGCTGCTAAAGGATTCAAGAACTGACTGTGCTGCTTCTGGTGCTGCCACTGGAGGGGGCAGGCTGTACGTGGGACCCTAAAGACAGAGGTTCAAGTCTCTTCTATAATGAGGCTTTGTCTTTGTCCTTCTGAGATGATGCGACCAGTATGTTTGAGGAGCAACATCTCTTACCTCCCTCCCCAAATCCTTGTGGTTCCTATTTTGCATTAAAGCAAAACCCCTACCTCTCAAACTTTCACAGGGCAAGTAGGCTGTTTCCTGCTCAGCAGCAGTTCATATCCCCTTTTTATGTTTTAATGTTGTTTGTTGGCACTGCCAGGTCCTCCCTTTTGAGTCAGAGCTTGCAGAGAGAGGAGAAAGATTTTTTTTCATATGCTTTTTTGGTAACTTTCTCTTCTAGATCAAAGCCTGAAACCTCAGATTGCAGCGCCTCAGCTTGCTACAAACAATCCAACTCTCACTACAGTTGCTCTAGAAAAACCTTTCTGTATGCTTGACAGCTCACTGCGTCCAAATAAATCTTATGTCATCTACTTGTACACAATGAAAGAATCAGGTGAGTATCCAGCATTACGCTTCTCTGGAAGATAACTACATGATGTGACTGTTGCATGCAATTCTTCACAATTTGATGGGAGTGGGTCTGAATGGGGGAAAAATCTGTAGCTGTAAGCTACATACAAGCTGAGCCTCTGGTCTCAGTTTTCTCCAGGTCATTATTATAAAATACAATATAAATAACTGTAGTATTTCAGTGGGGCTGATTAACGATAGCAAGCCTTAGTACTGTTAGACTCCCACTAGGTGTGGAGCAGCACTAGCAGCTATAAACATTTGCCCGAATCTTGCTAATAAAACCAAGTGGTCCACACCTTATCTTTGTCTAAACACAAATGCCTTGTATAAAAGCCTGGATTCTCCTAAGTAAGCCTGCTGAAACTGGGTAACTGCTGCTGTTTGCTTCATAGTTAGGGTAGTCAGCCCTTGCAAGGACTACTTTTTTTTTAAGACAAAGGCAAGTCATGCTAGACTTGTGGTCAAAGATGCCTGGCCCATGAGTTCATTCATAAAATGATTTTCATAACTGCTTGGCAATGAAACACTGCTGGCAGTGACCAAGACCTGCCTTCTCTGTTCCCTGCTGCTCTGGCAGACTGTTTGGAATGCCAGCTAGAGCTACTCTGTAAGCTGACAGAAATAAATGGCTTCCTTATATCATGCCTTCTCCCCTGAAGGCTGTATGCAGCCTCCTTTTCTAAGAGGCACAGAGAAGAAATCTTGAGGGGGACAGTAGAGAAATTGGCCAACAGACAAAATGGTCTAAAACTTCTGCTGCTGATTATTGCTGCTTTGGACAAGGTGGAAGGAGGGGGCCTTGGATGGGTAGAAGCTGTAACCAGAGACACCATCCCATACAGCTAACATAGACAATTGTGAATGCACAGCCTTATGAGACATGTCCCGTGACTGAAGTGCATGTCTTTATATGTCTAAAACAGACTATAAGTGCATTATAGTTATCTAAAAGGCTACTGATACCTAGTTATACCTGCAAATATGCAAACATGATGTTTTGTGTTAGAAATTACATCAACCATCATGTCTTCTGCAGATTCTGTGCTAAAAGCTTCCTACACAGATGGGTGAATCTCTACAAAAGGGGTTATATACGGAGAAATCGCTTCTGCTGCTTTTAAGGCAAGCAGATGCAAACTTGTTACTTGGCAGACTGGAAGGAATTTTGTTTGGATTTGTCTCTGGTCTGCAGAGAAGCACATTGGCTCACCCTTGGATGCCTCCTGGAGCAGGGAGAAGGAAAATTTAAGAGAACTTAACTTTCTCAACACCTTATGTTTCAGCTCTGCTGGTAAGGAAATGTGTCAGCACACTACAAAGCTGAGGGTCCAGCAAATTTCTGAAGAAGTAGCGTAACTTTTAGCTCTATTCTTGTTAATGTTGCTATCAGGCTTGATCTACTTAGTAAAGTTTAAAAAAACAAACAAACAAAACCCAAGAAAAAAACCCACACAAAAGGAACTTGCTTAGGCATCAGCTCTGACTTGCTCACCAGAGCCAGGCTAAGAGTTACTGAAACGGAGAGTGGGAGAGCAGGAGGACCTAGCTGTGAGAAGTATTATAATTTGGGGAAGCAAGACGAAGAATAGAGCATGTCTTAGCTAGTATTTGCTTTCATGTTATTGGCCCCTATTGAAGAGAGGGGTATCAGAGCTCAACTAACGTGAGCACTAACCCTTAAGTTGTATTTCTAACCTGTGCTAGAAACTTTTCCCTTTTAAAACAGGTTTAATTTTGCATGGGATCATAGCTAAAAACTTCTCATGACCAAGCAATTGCAAGAACTCTGCTCAGGGAGCACAGCAGAACGTTTCCAAACTGAAGTAGTTCCCAATGTACTGCAGCTTTGGAAAAACTGGCATTCCTTTGCTGCTGGCAGCACTGAACAGCTGGAGGGGGCTCCCCAAAAAAATTTAAGCTGCAGTTGCAGAACTTGTGGGCATCTCTTGGGACTTGTGCCTTGGCTTTGCAGCAGGAAAGGTTTGAGAGCTGCAACTGAGCTTCCAAACTATGCTGTAGGGCTGGGTGCAGATTCACACTTTGCTTGAAGCTGTGAGGACTTTCAGACTTTGAGGCATGCTGTCTGGAAGCAGTGACATGCCTGGCTGGCCAGAAAGGTAGATACTGCATCTGTTCATGCAGCCCCTACACACTGGTCTGCATACTGCATGGTTCTGGGAGGTCCAGCTGCTGCGGGGCCAGAGGTCTAAGGGTTTCTGCTCCAGGAGGTGGGAGAATTGTGACTCTATAGGAACTCTGCCTTGGCTATAGTATCAAATCTGAAATGGCAGGATTTACTGGATGTTTATTGGAGCCATGTGTGGCAGGGGGGAAGAGCAGCCTTTGCCACCCTCCTCCCTACTCCATCAGATTCTCTTTGGAAAAGAGGAATTTTGGGAGGGTGGCTACTAAAAAGTATTGCTCTGAGATATGCTGTGGGTCCTTCACAGTTTCTGAAGGACAAGTGTAAAGAGCTTCATCAACAAACAAGAAGGAAGGGGTAGGATCACTAACAGCCAAAATGGTAGCAGATTTTTGGTTTCCCTTTCGAGTGTTTTGGGGTAGAAGAGCAAGTTGCCGAGTAAATACAGGGTGAATGGAAAGGGCTGAACTAGTTCTAACAGCCTCGTTAAAAAGCATCTCTCCTGCAGCAAGTGCAATAAGCTCCCTGGTGACTGACAACAACAGCAAACCACTCGACAGCACCTTCCAACAAACAAGTGGAGGGCAGCTCGGACCTTACAAGGCTGCCTTGTTCAATGTACCCAATTGTGCATCACCTCCCAAACTTGCTGATGTTGACATCTCGTCAACAAAGTTTCTGATGTCCTGAAACAATACCTCTTCAGAGTTGGGGATGATGGGACTTGTTTGGATGACCCAAACTTCCTAGCTGTCTGTAACCCACCTCTTGCACCAGACACAACATACAGGTATAATTCTTATTTCTTACAAGGTGATTGCTGCTTTTAAAACACAATAGGAAGCAACATTGAGTCTGTAATGTTCCTTTGTAATGGTATGATGTGAATTACCAGTCCCTAACTGAAATGCTCTATTGCAAGGGTAGTTATGAAGATGGCTTTACTTTGGTTTAGCACCCTGCAGATGGTCCTCTATGGTGCCCTAGCAGTGGTGAGCTCTGTCAGGTTAAATTCATGGATTGGTAGGAAGATTCATGTGTGAACTGCTAGATCTTATACCTATGTTGGAGTAGGTAATCCAGTGACAGCATCTGATTAGAAATTGCTGGTAGAAAAGGATTTTGATTGGAAAATGATGTTGAGATTATTCACCATGTATTTTGTGTTAGATCATTCTGCCAAATTGCAGGTATGGATCTGGCTCTGCTTGCTTTGTTTTGATGGGATTTTGAAGAGCCAAAGTTCTCCTTGGTCTCCAGCTCCAGGAAGCCTCTAATGTTACTGGAGACTTCACAGTGAGGGCCAGGTGGCTTGCAGACTTGTCTGACCCCTGTTGTTGAGGAAGCTGGCCATCTGGGGAATTTGGGCACCCTGACAGCTGTTACCTGAAACACTTGTTTTGCTGTTGCCAGCCATTTAAAAGCTGTAGTAAAAATGGCAGTCACATGGAGCCAACTGCTGTGGAGACCTAATATGCTTCTGAAAAAAAATACTGTGGGCTCTTAGTTTTGCAAAAACTGTCTTGCCTCTTCTGTCTCTTCAGGACATTTCTGAAAACTCAAACTATTGTGGAATGGAAACTCAATTTCTTTGCCAAATCTGATGTTGGCCTGTCTATTCAATACTCTCCTCTAGCAGGGAAAGTGCCAAAGATCTCTATTGTTGGACAAAATCTTCAACTTCCATATGGAAATCAAAACCATTTGCTGTCCTAAATAATGAGGCTCTTCACAACAGGGAATAGCAAGCTGGGAAAAACTGTTGTTGGAAAGCTATCATCTGCCAAGGCTCACAAGAATGAATTGCAAACTGTGCATGACATAGCACAGAATGCTTATCCATGATTAATTCTATTTGCTCTTTATAAGGTCTCTGGAAATAGTCAGTTACCTTTGACAGTCTCCATCTAACGCTTTCACAAAACCTGAACTCTGACCAGCTAATCCAGTAGCTTAAAAATACTAGTAAGGAAGCTCAAATTTGAAATACCTAATTTAACACTTTTTCCCCACAGGTTTAAATATGTGTTGCTAGATAGCACTGAAGGGATCATGAAAGACCAAACTCTCTGGTCTGATCCAATCAAAACCAGAAAAGGTAAGTCTGTGGCTTGGCTCAGGTCTTCTGAGTAGCTGTGCTTGCTTTAGGACACTATTGCTCTATGAGCAACACCTAGTTCTTTCCGACAGTTTTAACAATTTTGTCAGCCTTTCAGTATTGGAGTAGCAGACTTAAATATGGAATAATTCTCTACTTCTTTTGTGTACTTCAAAACAATTCTTTTAGTAAAGATAAAGTTTGTACATGTGGTTTCAGATTTTATGCATATCATAGTATCTGGTGCTGCTGACATTTCTTAGTAATACAGATACTTGTCATACTGGCTAACCTGCTGAGGAAAGCTTATAAATTCTAAATGCTGACATTGGGTCTTAAACCTGTTTCCCATAAATCATCTAAGACTTCAGGTATAGACATAATCAGTTTGCCTCTCCTAAATCACCAGCCTTCTCCTATTTGGTGGGTGTGTTCATGGTCAAAGTTAGATTATAGGAACATACTTTCCATGCTTTTCTAGTTAAACTTCCCTTGAAAATTAATACCTGGCCTGGTCGAAGGAGTGGAGACATGATTGTCATTACATCGATCCTAAGCGTTCTTGTGTTCTTTCTGCTTGCTGGCTTTCTTGCTTCTGTGTCCTCTGCTGTCATGTAAGTACTGCTACACCTTACAACTTCCAGTAAGAGTACCTAAACCCTCAGTCATCAGCCTTCTTCCCTATGGCTCCAAGCCACTGTTGCTGGCCTTGTTTGAGATGACAGACCAGATGGTGTCCTCCAAATTTTGAAGTTGGTAATGGGAAAAGACTACTTTATCATAATCTTCCCTAAGATCAGCAGCTCTTGTAATTATTACAGATCCTTAGGCTTACTAGCTGCCAGACTTTAGTAAGGACCACTGGAAAAAAACAGTAGAGTTGCACATACTTAAAGCCTGTATATTCTTTCTTACATATTGCACCTTTCCATCTATTCAGGAGTTTGGAAACTGTCTTAAGGAGTGCAGGCATTTATAAAGATTACATAATGTCCTAATTAATGCCTTGATTTTAATTTATTTGCCTCCTCCCCAGGAAAAATAAGTTATCCCTTTCAATTAATAAGTGAGGCTTTGCTGGAGCTGTATAACTCAACTAGTCTATGCATGTTCCCTAGTCTTCTATGCCCCCTGCCCTGGGAAATCAATGAGGCTTGACTGATTCCTAAACTGAACTTTTGGAGGGAATGAACTAAATTTTAGAAAGGGTGGGTATCAGGGCTGCTAACACCCATTTCTTTCATTAACTTGAAAATGATGCAAGTGCTCTGCATTCAGTCAGCTCTGCCAGGCTCTCCTGGATTAAAGATGGGGAAAACAAAAACTGCATTGCAAATGGTTATTTTAAAAAAATCTATCGGCTTCTCTGATGCTAAGTGATTTAAGTAAGCAATCAGCCTTTGCAAAATGTTGTGACAGTAGGCTCCACTCAGGCTCTACTGGAACTTAATAAAGCCTTTCTCTTGCCCACCAGGGGATCAGAAGATTCTTCTGCAGAGACAAGGTGTGTGTCTGGGACTACTCAACAGAGTGAACCGAGACCACAGTTAAGCTCTGAGTGAACAAACTGACTCAAGTCAAGGGTGGAAATGCAACAGAACTGCTACGTGTGCTAGACCTACAGGACTGTCTCTTCTACTCAACACTAGTCCAAAACAAGCTACAGAACATAACACAAGTGAATATGAATGGCATAGATGAAATAAGGACAACTTTTTTGAAATCTTGCAGTACATGATATCTTGTCCTAATGAGATTTGATTTAGTTAATTGCTTTGTACAGCACATCAAATGCCTGGACTGAAGAAAGAATCTTCACGAGATCCTTCAATTTCAGTGGTGTGATCAGAGGTTGTCTAGCACATACATCTCATCTGGAGTAAGCATTACTGCAGACCTCTCATCTGCTTCTCATGATCAGATGAACATGATGTCTCAACCTCTCTCTGTAGTAACTGATGAGGAATAAAGGAAAACAGGCTGCTTTAGAAAAAGATGTTCTTAGAGAAAACTAGGGATTAAAAGGTAGACAACACGGAGCTACTGCTGCTTACTCAGGATTTTAGTGACTATATGTGTCCCTTTTTTCCTCTCCTTCCCTAAAAGAAAGCAAGCAAGTTCCAATTGCCCTGTATGTAGCAGAGTAATTCTGATCTCAAATACTTAAATATCCTCAAACAGCTTTGCCAGGGATGAATGGTAACAAAATTGCTTCAAAGAAGGTGTGTCCTTTCAGAGCTCTATATAATTTGTTGGTGGGCTAGTGAAGGGGAGATATTGCTTTAGTGGGACACGTGAGTATATTCACTGTTGTCAGGCTTAGCTTCATTCCCGACCTTTACCTTAGGCAGCTGCAAGCCAGCAATCTTCACATCTTAGTATCTAGACTGGTGGGGTTTTCTGAGCTAATTCTCTTCTTTCATTTCGTGATCTCGGTGACTAGAAATAAATCTTTGCCCCAGGTTTGAGTTATGTACTGCTTTTTTCCATTGATGCCAACTTCTATATACAGTTTTGTCTCTACAAAAGACTTGAAGATCCAACTTCAAAGCCCTACCTTATACCTCTTGAGTATGTAGAAACACCTGTCCTATTGTAGCAAGCACTTACTTGTGATAAGCACAGAGCTGTCACTGGTTATTATTGATGTTTTCCTAGTTTATCAGTAAATTTGTTAAACTGTTTCAGATTATAAATAAGGATTCTGTTTTGATATAGGTAGTTCACGATCACTGTCATGACTGGATGATCTTGCACTGATACTTATTTCAGGGAGTGGGACTTATTCTCTTCAGATTATTAAAATTAAAAAGTTTTGTGTAAAGTCAAACATTGCCAGGATGGAGTGTTGAGAATTGTAGCTTGGTGATTGCAAAATTTGCCATTTAAACTTGAGTTAGGCCCTAGAGATTTTTACACGAGCTTCCGGAGCCTGGGTATTCTAACTACAGCATGTTAAAGCTTGCCTGCTCCATCTTGGTTTCAGCTACACAAGGGCTGGCAAGGAGAAGGGAGAAAGCACTTTAAGGGAGAGATGGGTGCTGTGTCTTCTGACTAGAAATGGATGCTGAAGTACCTGGAATTACATTTTTCTGGGTTTTGGCTATTGGTGCCTTCCCTGTATTTTTCTGCCATACAGGCTGCTCCAAACACCGTTCTGAGGTGCCTTCTCATTCATGTATTAGGTACTAACTTGGAAGCAATGGATATTTGAAAAAAAGGAGTACGAATTGTAGGTGTGCAATGCTGAACGTTAGAGTACGTGAGAGATCCTTGGAGTGTTTGCCTCCTTTATAAAGCCAAAGTAGTACTTCACTGCTATAGAGGGCTCTAACTCCTTGCTCTGGACCCAGTGGAAAAACAGGCTATCTAACAGTAGGATCAGTAAAATTAATAAAGCCAAATAAGTATCCTTTCAACTGCAGACAGTCAATACACTGTATTGGATGCCATATCAGTTAATTCTACTACTGGAATAAGTTCTCCATTTTGTTTAAAGGAGTTGCTTGAGACTGTATGTCAGCACGTACAGCTATCATTTAAAATACAGCACTAGAATAATCCGATCTGTTTTCTGCCAGTATCTATGAAAACATTCACATCAAGCAGTTTGTCTCTCACTCCACAGATAACTAATTTTAGTCAGTTTAATCCTGCTAATGGGCCTAGTTGAATAGCTTGTATTTCTTCTTGTGCTTCTCTTACGTCTTTCATTTAAAAGATCTTCACTTTATTTCTTTGTGGAAAAATTCAGAATGGATTATTTTTAGGTTTTATTTTTCCTCCACACAAACGAAGCAGAATTAACTGTCTCAGTTGTTCCTATATTGCTATGCATACAAGCTTTGGGTTTTTTCACTTTAGCTTTTCAAAACTTCCCCAGTGTTCACAAACTTTGTGTGAAAAAGAATTCTGCCTTTCACCAGCTTCAGATCTTAGGACATTTCTTTCTCAAGGAACATGGGAAGGAAGAGAAACTCTAATGTATTATTTTTGTCAGAATTCCCTATTGAAATTTTGACATTGAAAATGACAACTCAAACTACTTTTTCTATGCAACCCTGCTTTTAGACAGGGAGAACTACGCTTGGAGCAGCTTCAGCTTTCCCAAGATCTTGCCTGTCAGTACCCATTCATTATGCTGTGAACTGTATTTCAGGACTATGCCTGGTCAAAACAACAGTCATGATAAATACCAGAACAGGGTCACAACTACTTTTGCCTCTCCATATGGTATTTCCATTGATCTAAATACTGACTTCTTTCTGCTCTGCTTTTGACTCCTCACTGAAGAAAGGGTATGGAAATTCCTGTTTGAAGCCTATCAGGTACGTCCTGATTCTTATCCTGGTCATGCAGAAGAAATATAAGGTATCAATGATTAATGGCATTTCTTTAGTACATAGACTTAAGAAACAGAAAGGATGTGGGCCACTGCTTAATTTTTGAAGGAATGGGGGTGCAAAAAGACTACATTTGGCTCTTTCAGGAGTTGTTGCCAACCTTGTCTGTATTTTTGCTCAGATATGTCTTTCACAGTCAGCCTGCCACACTGAAGGAAGGAATATGTATGGACAAAACAAAGTTCCTGAGCCTTATGTATTTACATTAAAAGCATCAACAGACATGAGACAAAACTGAACAGTGATATTTGCTAGGTGTTTTCTATGTATTGTTCATCTATTCCTAGCTGTTGCTTTGGGCACTGAAGGATAGTTATCACTTCTTCAATGACCCTGCAAAATGTATTGAAAATGCTGACTGCAAGTGCTGCTATGTGGTAGAAAATAAAGATAAAAATCACATCTATGGAGAGAGTCCAGGAGCCACTACTGAAGTCCTGCTTACATTTAAGACTTCAAGATTGTGCTTAGGTTTTATCAATGTTACACGTGATGGTTGTGAACAAGTTGAACTTGAGATCTCTTTTCAAGAGAAGCTCTAAGAAGACTTTGACCTATGCCTGCTGGTCTGCACTGAGATGAATGTAACCCTAATAGTATTAAGTTGCCAGAAGTATAGTTGTATACTCCATTTCTGATATCTTTTACTTGGGTCCTGGTATTTCTCTGGGCAGAAAGTAATAAATACAAACTGTGCTGTGGAAAAACTAGTGCTGGGATGAGGTTATTTTACATAGAATCATAGAATCATTAAGGTTGGAAAAGACCTCTAAGATCATCAAGTCCAACTGTCAACCCAACACCACCATGCCCACTAAACCACGTCCCTAAGCGCCTCGTCTACCCATCTTTTAAATACCTCCAGGGATGGTGACTCAACCACTTCCCTGGGCAGCCTGTTCCAATGTTTAACCACTCCTTCAGTAAAGAAATTTTTCCTCGTGTCCAATTTTCACCTGTGGTCTAGGTTAAGATTCAAATGCCTGGTCTCCAGGACTGAAAAACATTTGATTCTCTTTGCATCACTCATTCCAGCATGCTCTCAGCTGAGGCCCTGGCAGAAATGCTGCTTTAGGCCTGTTTAGCAGATGGACTGACTGCACTAAGATTCAGTACAGTTGAACACTGAAGTTGTCCGCTAGCAGCTATGTGACCCAACTTGTCTGTGGAGCTGCCTGATCTTGGATGTGGAAGGTAAGTGGGAAAAAGAGTGAGAGCTAGACAAGATTTGTGTGGTTTTAAGCACTCCCTTGCTTGTGTGGTTTGTTTGGTCCTAGGGCTGCCTGCTGCTAAAACATGGCTATGTGAGTCTTGAGTTAACTAAAAGACTCCTTTCTGTGCCAACTGTAATAACTTTTGTGAGGTGTTTATAAGCATATTTTTAAACTGTAGTATACCAAATAAAAATAATTTTTTCATGGGGGATAAATGAGCACAAAGATGGTAAAGATGTGAATATGGAGAGATGTTATGTTGCATTTCTTGAACATGGTGTGTTCATGAAGATAATTCCCTCTGCATCTTCAAACAAGTCTTTTCTGCTCTACTTTCACCAGGACAAATGCATAATTAACCAGAATTAATACAGGGGCAGGGTGAGGGAAGAGGTCATTTCCTTCAGAACTACTTGTCTTTTATTCAGTAAGTGATTCTGCAGATTATTTAATTGACTGGTCATTAGTAACATTAGACTTTTAAAAAAACTCACTTAGATAAAGGAAGAAGCGAATCATTTGATCGTAACAGGTGATGTTTTGGGGCAGACTACAGAAAATTAGCAATCTCAGAAGCTCCTGGTAAGAAACTCTGTATTATACTCTCAGTTGTATGACAGTTGGGCTGGGAACCTGGCAGATGCAATATTTAATACTCTTTTTCAGTTAAGTTGGGGTATATAGCATTAGGTTATTTGGATGCTGAAAGAATCATGGTCAGTTTACTGAATTAGCTTTGCTTTTGTTTAGCTTGGGCATAAATGTAGATCACTTGCTAGATATATTTGGAACTGGGGAATGAACCTGAGGAAAAGGATGCTAGTGAGAGCCATAATTAAAGCAGTCACAGTACTTTTTATAGCTATTTGTGATAGATCTGGTCAGCTGTGATCAGGAGACCTACCTCAAGATCAGGACCAAATTGCAAAAGGCA